GCCCTGCTCCTACCAGCAGGTGATGAGCCTCCAGCAAATACAGATCACCAACAGTGTGGAAGAGAGGGAGTTTGACAGGGACCTCACTGGGCAAAGGGCAAAGGATCTACCTGCAGGGAGCATTCCTTTCTGGAGGCTCTAGAGGACACACTGTGTCCTTGCCCTTGCTAGATGCCGGAGGCTCCTGATTCCCGTTTTGTGGCTTCTTCCTCCCTCACAGCTGACAACACTGGGCTGAACCCTTGTCACACTGCCTTGCCTCTGGGTCCCTCTTTTGGTTCTCTCTCCCACATCTAAGCACCCTGTAATGACACTGTGCCACCCAGGTAATCCAGGATAACTTCCTTAAGGTCAAACATAGTTCCCTCTACCACCTGAATTCCTCTTTACCCTTTTTTTAAAAAGATTTTTTATTTATCTATTCAGGTAATAGACAAAGAGAGGCAGAGGCACAGGCAGAGGGGGAAGCAGGCTCCATGCAGGGAGCCCGATGTGGGACTCAATCCTAGGACCCCAGGATCACACCCTGGGCCGAAGGCAGCGCTAAACCCCGAGCCACAGGGGCTGCCCGAATTCCTCTTTACCCTTAACAAAACACGTTCACCGTCCTAGGGATGGGGACGCAGGCAGCTGTGGGGTCAGGGGCATTAGTCTGCCTCCCAGAAAGGGGTTCCTGACAGTTTCCCAGCTAGATGCCAACAGGGCAGAGGCCACGGTGGTGACCCACTCACTTCTCTTGGGCTCTCCCTTCCCTGACTCATTTTGCCCGCGTCTTGCCTTGTGCTTCCTGAGAGCACCTCCCAAATAAGATCCCCTCCCCCAGATCCTCATCTCGAGATCTGATGCCTCAGAGAAATCTAAAGTAAAGTCGTGATCTTGGGCAAGTTAATCAATCTGAGCACTAGCTTCCTCCCATGAAAGCAAAATCTATCATAGTACCTAGCTCACAAGGCTGCTGGGGGAATTCTAGGGGTCCGTGTTCATAAAAGGGTCTATGTGGCAGGGTGCACAGTTAGTTAGCTACTGTTGGAGGGGAGGTGCTGGTGCACAGGGAGGGGCCAGCCTTGGACAGAGATAGTTCTCCCTCAGAGACCCTGATGGTCAGAGGGGTGGGGTGGGGTAGGGTGGCGGCAGGGTGGGAAAGCTGGAGGGTTTCCTCTGAGGGCATCCCTTTGCTTCTGAGCTGCATCTGCTTCTGAGGGCAGTACAGTGTGGTACAGACTTTTGGGGACAATAATGAACATTCCCAAGAGCATAATTAAGGACTTCTGAGCTGTTGGGAAAGCCCAGTGGGCATTGGAGACCATATACCCCTCAAGGCACAATCTCTGAGCTCTGCATAGGGAAGATGGTGGGGGGAAGGGACAGAAGGCTGGCCGTCTCAGGGTGGATGTGGTCAAAGGGCAGTGCGGGAGGCCAGGCTGTGGGGTGTACTGAAGGCTCCAGGCTAGATGGAAGGGGAAGGGGCCATTGTGAGAGATCGGTGACTCCCATATAGTGGAAGGGCAGGTGGCCAGGTGTACAGCAATGAGGGGACTACGGGATCAGAGGTAGGATGTTGGTGCTTAATATTCCCAGGGAAGGGACAGTTTATAGTGCAGACATGAGAACAGGTGGCTGAAGTGGTTTAGCTTTGAGGTATCTATTAGACTTGAGGTGTCCATCACCTACCAGGTCTTAGCCGTGACCAGACAGTCCTCCCACCTGCCACGATGACAAATCAGAGACCGCTTCTGAACGGGCATGACTCGGGCAGGACTCAGGCAACGTAGGGGAGTGACTGCCCCAGTGGTGATGCTGGAAGGCGAAAACCCTGAGTGAGAGTCAGGACAGAAGGCAAGTAATGTCACTGAGGCTGCTTTCAAGCTCGCAGAATGTGGGAGGTGGAACAGGCTGCCTCCTGTCCCTCTGGGTGTCTGAGAAAGCAGAATTCTTTAGGACAGTGTCTCCCCCGCGCCCAGCATCAGCATCACCAGAGGAGCCCATTAAAAGCATGGATTCTGGGGCTCCCTGGGTGGTTCAGCAGTTTGGTGTCTGCCTTTGGCCCAGGGCATGATCCCAGGGTCCTGGGATCAAGTTCCACATCGGGCTCCCTGCATGGGGCCTGCTTCTCCCACTGCCTGTGTCTCTGCCTCTCTCTTGGTGTCTCTCATGAATAAATAAATCAAATATTAAAAAATAAATAAATAAAAGCATGGATTCTTAGTACTCCTCCCAACATATACCTCCAACCGGTTCTGTTACTTTCCTGCAGCTGTGGTGACAAATACCACAAAGCTGGGCGGCGTGATGCAGAATACAGAAATGTATCCTCTCCCAGTTCTGGAGACCAGAAGTCCAGGTCAAGGTGTTGGCAGGGCCATGCTCTCTCTGATGGCTCTTGTGAAGGGTCTTCCCTGCTTCTGGGGGTCAGAAGCAATCCTTGGGAATCCTGTGTCTCAGTCCCTGAAATCTCCCAGTTCTCATAAATTATTGGATTTAGGGCTCAGCCTCATCTACCATGACCTCCTCTTAACTTGATGACACTCGCAAAAACTCTTCCAAATATGGCCATGTTCACAGGTGCTGAGGGCTAGGACTTGAACATATCTCTGGCTGGGGACACAATTATTCTAGAAAAAAAGAGTTTATGACATGCGTTGAACAGGTGAGGACAGACTATGTTCAGGACCATTGCAAGAGAATTTTGCAGTGAGGGGTGAGAGAGCTTAGGCTCAACTCTGATTAGAGCATGGGCAAGAGGGAATTTATAGCCAAGGAGCAGGGGTGGGGATCCCCGGGTGGAATTTACTAAGAGGAAATAACAGGGGTGGGGGCGATTCTGGCTAAACTGACCTAACAGGATTCTTGCTAAAAAGGCAGGCCAGGGTGTTCAGACATCACCTGGGGTATGGTGGGGGGAGTGGGATTTCGCTTAAAACCGGATTTTACAAGGAAGCATGTAGATGGGCCTAGAAGTTTCCGGAACCTGACTAAAGTTTGGTCAAGCAACGGATCTTTCTCACAATTCAACCCACTATGCCAGCTAAATACAATCTTTGGAGCAGGGCTGGAAAATATGTAATTTTAAACAAGGGTCCACGAGGTAAAGCAAGCCGGAAGAACCATTTTTTAGTTGGAGCCTGTAAGGACCTGAAAACTCCGGGAAGACGGCTCCATTGCCAAAGACTTCGGAAGAAGGCTGGTGGGAGAAAAGCCGACCGGGGGAAGCACAGAGAGGCATGCATTTAAGGCAAAGAACGGGGGTGGAGAGATCCAGTGGATCCTCTGGCCCCAAGGTTGGAGCCGGAGTCCGTATGAATGAAGGCATCCACGGCTTAGCCAAGAGTCTACAGCCTCTGCCCAGAAGAATTTGGCTCTAGCTGTTGTGGAGCTGCGAAGAGCTCACAACCCGGGGGTGGGGCGCCTGGGGGGTGCTGGGGGAGGAAGGAGCAGGTTTTGAGGATGCTGGCCTCCCACAGACTCTGCAGGGAGCAGCCTCCCGCTAGCCCTGCCATTCCACTGGCAAAGCCTCGCCAGCCTCTGTCCAAGGTCTCCTTCACTTTCAACCAGAACTCTCCTTCCCGGTAAATCCCACCACTTTCCGAGGCTATTTACATGCTGATGGCCCCACATTTGCATCTCAAACTCAGACCCCCCCTCCTCGGTGCCAGCTCCTGTTTGACCAATTGCAATCTGGCTAGAAGATCAGGCAGGTGCCTGAAATTTAACATCTCCAAAGCTGAACTCACCCCTAAACTTGTTTGACCTCCCATAGTTTCTTTTTTTTTTTTAATTATTTATTTATTTATTTATGATAGTCACAGAGAGAGAGAGAGAGAGAGAGAGAGAGAGAGAGAGAGAGAGAGAGGCAGAGACACAGGCAGAGGGAGAAGCAGGCTCCATGCACCGGGAGCACCCGGAGCCCGACGTGGGATTCGATCCCGGGTCTCCAGGATCGCGCCCTGGGCCAAAGGCAGGCGCTAAACCGCTGCGCCACCCAGGGATCCCCGACCTCCCATTGTTTCTAATTCAGTTAGCATTACTACCCACCCAGCCCCCCAAAACTAGAAATCTGGGGGTCGTCTTCATGCTTCTTCCTCCAACCACACACTAAATGCCCTCAACTGCGTGCTTGACCTCCTAATTAGAGATTCGGCCTCTTTTTCCCCTCCGGGAGAGGGCATCCTCCCAGATGTGGTACAGCCTTTCTTACAAGCTCACCTTGTGAAAAACAAATCTGACAAAACTCTGCAGACGACGGCAGCAATACCAAACTCCCCAGCATGACACATCATCTTCAGGAGGGCCCTACTTACCTAGCCTGGAAACCCCAAACTCTTTTTTTTTTTTTTTTGCTAAACCAAACCAAACCAAAAAAACCCTCGCAAACAAAACCAAAACCCCACAACAACTTACAAAACGAATCTCAAAAGAGAGAGGGCACGAGGAATAAAGACGCTGCGTCCTCTTTCCCAGATTCGGGAGGTCTGGAGGGTTGCCTGGGGACCGTGTGTAGAGGCATCTTCCCAGGTGATTCAGGGGCAGATCCAGGTTTGCCAAACCCCACGTTTGTGCCATCCTTACAAAAGTCCAACAACTCACGTTACAGAATCCAGGCTACTATGTTCTTTCCTAATGCACTGTAGAGGTAGCTAGAAAAGAAACACACACACACACACACACACACACACACGCAAACACAAGGGCGGAAAAGCCCGCATCAGCCAGCCTGCGAGGTGACATCACTTCTGCAGCCTCACCGAGATTAAAACCCTGAGGAATCGTGGAGCAGGAATTTGTAAGAGCGAGGAGCGGGCATCTGCCCAGCCTGCCACGCTGATGCGCAGCAGAAGCACCTTTGGGGGGTGGGGGGGACACCAAAGTCGCTCCTGCCCCCCACCCCGATCCATTGAGAAAATGCCCAACCACCCCAGAAAAGTTTGGTCGGCATTCCCGCACGCCCCTTGCTTTTGAGGGAAGCCCTCCAGGACTCGGTGTTGGGAAGCATCTGCCTGTACCTCCATCAGCGACGCATCGGGGAGTGGAAAACCCGGAGAAAGCACTTGGGCCGGCGGAAGCTCCCGGAGCAGCGTTCATTCAAACCGCGCACTCTTGGGCTGCCCTGCTCTCTGGGACTTGTAACCGAGGACCCCTGAGCTCGCCCTCCCCGCCAGGCTCGCTGAGCGTTCAGCAAACTTTGCAGGAGGAGGACGTCTGCGGGCCCACCGGGGCTCACGTTAGCTCCCGGGCCCGCCCAGACAATAGAGAGCCGACCGGAGTCCCTATTAGCCCCGCGCGCCGTGTAGGTTGTGTGCTTTTTTTTTTTTTTTTTTTTTTTTTTTAAATCTCTCCTCGTAGCAGAGGCGGCTCTGGCTCTGCTCCTGCCCCTCCTCTAACCGTCTGCACGGTCATTGTCTCCCAGTGCGACACGACGGCGGCGCCCGGGGAGCAGGTACAACGTCCCGCAGGGTGCAAGCGCGGTGGAGCCCGGCCAGCTTTTGGGGGAAAAGCATTCCCGGCCCCTTCCGGCGGGTCCAGGGAAAGTAGGTGGCCCGGGCGCCAAAGGCTGCTGCCAATGCAAGTCGCAACTTTTGAAATCAATCCTTTTTTTTTTTTTTTTTTTTTTTTGCATCTTGCAACGGATGCCACCGCCGCTCGGGTTTGCAACCCCCCACCCCTCCCCCGAGACCAATCATTGCCGCGCTCGGGCCTGCACAGCGCCCCCGCCCCCTTCCCGGGCCGCACGCAGCCACCGAGCCGCTCCGGCCGCGGCCCGCCGCCTCTTAAAGGGCGGTAGGCGGCCCTTAAAGGCCCCTCGCGCGCGCGGCGCACGGCGGCCCGGTACCCGGCAGGGGCCCGGCGAGGCAGGCCGAGCCCCCGCGGCGCCCAGGCGCGGCCCGGGCCCTCCCGGGCCCTCCCGCCCCCCGCCGCCCCCCGCCGCCCCCCGCCGCCGCCGCCGCCGCCGGGAGCGGCATTTTTATTCAGGCGACGCTTAAGGGAGCCCGGCCGCGCCCGGTGCATTGTGGGAGCGCCGGAGTCCCGTTTTCGGGAGGAGGAGGAGGGCGCCAAGCGAACCGGTAAGCGCCCGGCTCGGGGAGGGGGGGGCGCGACGCCAGGCTTAAAGGGGCACATTCGTCCGCGGGCCCGCGGCGGCCGTGCGGATCCCCCTCCGGGCCGCCCGGGCCCGCCGGGAGCCGCGCACGGCCGGCGCTCCCCAGCGCTGCCTGCAGAGGGGCCGAGCCAGGGCTTGGTGGGGCCGCTTTAAAAAAGAAGCACCGCCCGCGCCGCCGCCGCCGCCGCCGCCGCCGCCGCCGCCGCGCGCGCGGAGCCGGGGAAGGAGGGAGGGAGCAGAGGGCGGGGGAGGAGTGGAGGGGGAGGGCGGCGGCGGCGACGCAGGGGTTAATTTTTTCGCCCGCCGACATTTTTGCGCGGCGGCCCGCGCGCGCGGCGGGAGAGCCCAGGCCGGTGCCCGGGGCGCGGCGCGCGGCACCTCGGGGCCCTCCCCGCCCCCCCCCCCTCCCCGGCCCGCGGGCGCCGCCTGGCCCTGGGCGCCCCGGGCCGGGATCCCGCCGCCGGGAGAGCGGGAGGGCGGGCATGGCCGGGCCGGCGGCGCCGCACAAAGAGCCGCGGCCCCGCGCGCCTTCCGGGGCGGCCCCCGCGCCCTGAGCGGCCCCGCGCGCCCGCCGCATGGACCGCGCTCGGCCCCCGCGCGCCCGCCTGCAGCCCAGCCCTTTGTTCGCGTGCGGGGCCCGCGCGCCCGGGGGCCCGGGGGCCCGGGGGCCCGGGGCCAGGGAGGTAGGTACCGGGCCCGCGCGCCGGGCTCCCGAGCTCCGCCCGCCTTTGCAGGGGGGGGAAAGAATCAGGTGGCCGAGAAGGAAAGGGTTAACCGCCTTTAAATATTCATATCTTTGTTTTAAAGGTGTCAACAGGCGGCTCTGGCTGGCGGTGCACTCCCTCTTAGGCAGACTGACTCCCCCCTCTCCATTCATGACGACTTTCCCCAAGCATCTCCCCCCGGACCCCCAGGTTTCTCACATTCACCCTCCAAAAACTAACTTTTGCAAGATTTCGTGTGTGTGTGTGTGTGTGTGTGTGTGTGAGATGGGTGTCCCTCGTTCCGTTTAGTATTTTAAAACTCCTAAGTGCTTTTTTATTTTTAATTCATTATTATTATTTTTTTTTTTACTTAAGGTGTCCTTAGACTTTTTTTTTTTTCCTCCCCCTCTTAAAAATCTGGGAAAGTAGAAATTAGGTTGAAAAGGAAGTTAGCTTCCCCAAGTTCCCCGCCTCTTTCTGGAGGAGGGTGGCGGTGGTTTAGGGTTGGAAGTAGGAAAATAACTGGATGCCTCGTGAGTTGGATCCCCCCCCACCCCGTAGGAGTGAGGCGTGTTAAATGCGAGGCGTTTTGTGAGCAAAGGACTGTTTTGTTCCAAACTCTTCCAAGTCAAAGTGCTGTTGGACTCTTCCTTAACTCTAAAATGGCTTCAGAATTCCCCTCTGGGTAATTTGCTTTGCTCTCCTGACACCCTTCTTTCCGACAGGTTGTTTTCTTGAAATCTTGGAAGCTTTACTCCTGCACGGTTGTAGGTTTCAAGCCAAAATGATTGCTCACCCCAAACATGCTTTTTTGTAAAGACGATTTGGATTACTGCCCAAAGTCTGGCTTTGTGAGATTTATTTTATTTGTTTATTGTGCATGTGCGTGTGTGTGTGTGTGTGTGTGTGTGTGTGGTTTATTTTAAATGAGTGATGTCTTTCCCAGGAGATCAGAAACTCTATATAAATGGGAATTATGTTCTTGATCATAAATTTTATAGGGGAAACTGACTCTAAAACTTGGGGTGTTTGTAATTCTATGCCCAATAAAATATCATTCTGGAGGTTTGTAAACCCTGGGAGCACATGTAAGATTCTGGTGTAACCTCCCAGGCTTCAGATTTAGAAGAGTTCGCCCTAGAAACTTCCACAGTATCAAGTACCATGACTGCTAGTGATTTAAGTGCAGTTTAATTTCTCATTTTAGTTCTGCAGTGAAACCGTAATGAGCAGGAGCAAGCATATTTTGTCAGTGATGTGTGTGTACTGGTTTGTTGGGCGGGATGTTTGCTTTCTAGGAAAGAGCACTGCATTAAAACATTAAGAGAACTTTCCACTGCTCTCTTGGAGAGGATTAATCTTGCTGCGTTAAACAGCCTTTCCACTTTTCAACTTGTGTTGTTCAGTGAGGCTTCCTTAGTTTTGGATCATGTTGTGCTTTTGGCTCAAAGTGAGAACCTGCTTTTCTCAAGTTGAATTGAGCATCATGAAGAATTCCATCAGATGCATTTCCATCAACATCCTTTTCCTGCAGAGTGTCTGGTGGGCATTTTATTTTTCTGTTTGAGACAGCAGAAGATATTAAAAGGTTTTCCAGAAAAGTCCCTTCAGCTGGGACTTCTAATTTCAAAGCCATAGTGTTTCTAGGCTGACAGATGAAGTGACTGGAAGTTTTTTCACAATGCTGGCCGCCAGAAGAACCTTTGGGACTTGCTGCTGAAAATGGCCTTGTGTCTTGTGCCAGCTGGCCCATGGTGCCTTCTTCAGGGGAGGTGTCCTGTCCCCTCAGAGCCACAGTGACAGCAACACAGACGTCAGATCTTCTGTAGAAGAAGATGTCTGTGGTGGTACAGTCCATGTTTAAAATGATCGTTCCGGCTTTTGCATCACCGTGAGGAACTTGTGTGGCCTCTGATCCCTGCCATATCCCTGGGGTCCGGTTGATTTCAGCTCTTTTCACACTTACTTGTCACTGTCCTGTATATCCACCTGAGGCTTAGCAAGTACTGGTGAGGATTCTTTTAATGATGTCTTTGTGTTTGGGTGATACCTAGGTGGATCCGTAAAGAAACCAGCCGGCTAGGAGAGGGAGGGGAGGAGCCCAGCTGTGAAGTGTGTGTTCCCAAGAACCATGTCTACGCGGGAGTCCTTTAACCCGGAAAGTTATGAATTGGACAAGAGCTTCCGGCTAACCAGATTCACTGAACTGAAGGGCACCGGCTGCAAAGTGCCCCAAGATGTCCTGCAGAAATTGCTGGAATCCTTACAAGAGAATCACTTCCAAGAAGATGAGCAGTTTCTGGGAGCAGTTATGCCAAGGCTTGGTATGTGAACCATTATTTCTTTTATACTTCCCCAAGGAAGAGCATCTTGGCTGCAGTTGTAGTCAAGGAGTCAAAAGCCAAATTTCCATCCTCCCATGGTGCCTTTTTTAAAAAGGCTCATTTCTACGAGGATTCAAAGAGCACAGCCACAGTAACTATCTGATTATTGTAACTTATTTGGAGGAAGTACTTGGAAAGCATCAAGAAATGGGCTCTAGCCATTTTTAAAGTGTAAGTGTGCAACTGAGACAATTCTATTACAGTAAGAGTGTTTTTCGCTAAATTGAATTTTGTAGTTAGCTGAGGATTAAGCAGAAACTCCTTGATGCCTCTGTCTTAAAATTTTCCTTAAAGTGCTTGCATTCTCTTCCTTCGCCTTAGGAGAGGTGGTGCTTCCCTGTCACTGTGTGGTGCTGTGAGGGCAGTGACTGGGTTGCGGGGGAGCTCAGAGGTTCTTCTGCAATATGCGTTGTTTGATGAGCTCCGGTGGGGAGGAAGGAGAAGCCTGGACTAAGTCTGCCTGACCCCGAACATCATCTGGAATTGAGAGTGTATTTTATTTTATTTTTTTTCTTTACTAAATACCTGATGCTTCCATGGTTTGCCTCTTCCCAAACACAGAGCTCAGAAATTCTGGGCTACCAGGATACTGTTTATTAGCTCTCCTTGTTTGGTGCATTAAGGACATGGCATGAGATGGTGATCACTTTGCCTTTTGAATGTTTGGCGTGTAGTCTAGGAGTTTGAATGTTTGGTAGTCCTGCTGTGTGACCTGATCAGCTTTCTTAAATAAGGTTTTCATTTCATTTTTCACCATTTTATTGTGCAGTTCTGTCTTACAACCCAGGACACTCCTTCTCTGATATTTAAAGCAAATATAAAAGCAGAGCTGATGGGGCACCTGGGTGGCTAAGTCCGTTAGGCGTCTGTCTTCAGCTCAGGTCATTATCTCAGGGTCCTGGGCTGGAGTCCCACAGCAGCTCTCTGCTCAGTGGGGGGCCTGCTGCTCCCTCTCTCTGTCAAATAAAATCTTTAAAAAATAAAAATAACGAAAGCAGAGCTGCTTTGGTTGGGAGAGAGGAAGCTGCATGCACTCCAAGGGTCTGCAGGGCTGACTCCCAGGAGTTCAGTTTGGAAACCAGCCTCATCT